AAGTGGTCGATATTATTTTGTGTCTGGGTTACGTGTTCCACTTTTGAGACTCATCCATGTTTTAATTTTTATTTATCTACCTATTTATTTTTGTACTTAGTACAGGATCCACAAGGTCTCACTACGTAGATCAGACTCGTAGTGATTCTCCTGTTTTCAGCCTCCCAAGCCCTGGGATTACAGGCGCCCGCCACCATACCCAGTCTCAATCTCTGTCTCAGCATGTCCCGGGGGGAGGGCTGGTATGGCACACGGGGGATCAAACCCCAGTCTGTCTCTGTGTCTACCTAAGCAGGAGCTTTAATCTGCTGAGTGATTCATCCCTGTTTTTCCATGGATTAATAGTTCACTCTTTTTGAGTGCCAGGCAGTATTGCATTGAATGGATATACTGATGATTTGTTAATCTGTTTTCCTTATGATGAACACTTGTGTTTCCAGTTTTATAATATTATCAGTAAAGTGGCTATCCACATTCCCATACAGGTATTTTTGTGTGAGTGTTATTTCCTTTCTTTTGGGTAAGTAGCTAAGAGCACAACTACAGATCCTAAGTTGCTGAGTGTTCAACCTCCTAGGAAACTGCCAAACCTTTTCCATAGTGCATTCTTAGTTAATGATTCGGATTACTCCATGAAGTGAACTCTTGCATATAGTTTTTTGTTTTATGATTTGTTTTTGTCTTAAATTGCATCAGATGCTAAGGATACACAATTTGAGCCACATCTCTAAGATCTTTTTTTTTTTTTTTTTAATGCTTCTGAGTTGTTTAAACAACTTAGAATCTGGAAAACTCATATTTGAAAACCTGGATGCTTTCATGGGTCTCTTGTGTATTTTTCTCTATTGTCTCATTTCATATTCAATACAAAAAATATGTGTAACAATGTGAGTTAGTTATGAAGCAAGTAATTATGAACGATGAGTTTGTAAATCCACCACCCCATCCAAGCACGAGCACATATCCAGGAACTCTGCACAAACCTCTGGCTTTTCCCTGCTTGCCCCAAGGAAATCTGTAGTTTATAATATTCCTCTTCCTAAAACAATGTAAGACAAAACAAAATGAAACAAATTGTCCTATATTTAATTTCTTAGCTCTAAAAATCCTGCTGCAATTTCTTAGTTTTGCTTGCTTTTAAGAGCGCTTTCAAAATTCTTTAGGTTTTTTTGAAACTGCATATTTTTATTCGACATTATTTTGAATATCAATCCCTGATGCACATGGCTATAGTTCATTTACTTCTCCTTCCATCTATTTTTCTGGGAACATATCACACATACTGTATTTCTACAGATGCCTCTAAATTATTATTTGTGGAATTGCTCACCTTTGCACTTGATGCAGATTCTATCTTTGAGGAATATAGTACACTCAGAGTAATTGGAGCCAAAATGATTATCAGGAAAAAAATGTTAAAGTGAAAAAAAACAAGCAAGCAGTTTCTGCTCTACAAGGAGAATGAATAAGACACCAGGGAAAATGGCATAAACCAATCAAAAGAATGATATTTTGTCACTATGACTAGAAAGCAAAGATCCAAATTATTTACATGGTTTTATTTCCAAGATTGAAAAAAAATTGATTGTGTGGGCAGAATATAAGTTTGAAAAAAATCTTTTTCAATACAGTCATGTTAGAATAGACAGAACTTAGTTTTTCGTTGTTCTCTAATTGTGAACTCTATAATGAACATAACTAAAATGACTAATCTTACTGACTTTCTACTATTTAGGGGAAACGCATTTAAAAACTTCACAAATGAAAAACCATTTGGACTGAAAAACAACATCCAAACCCTCCCAAACAAACCTCTATATTCCTTACAAATAACTATGTACTTCTTGCTAGTCTACACAGACTTTTATACTCTTGGGGACAAATGAATATTTTAATTACCAACACTAAGTGTATTTATTTTATAAAGTTTTAAAAGATTTTTGGTTGCATTAGCCTTGTAAAAATTAGAACTAAACTTTTGTTTGACTTTATGAGTATGTATTTGTCTTAGTTACTTTTCTAGTTCTGGAAACAAAACACCAGACTTCCAAAGATAAAGGAGGGAAGGTGTATTTAGCTCACAGTTTGTAGAGTTTTCGGTCCATAGTTGGCTGGCTCCAAGGCAGAGGGGCAGCATGTGGGAGAAACACCTCATGGCAAGCAGAAGGTGGTAAGTAACTGGAAGTGAGCAAAGCTCCATTCCTTGTGTCTTGCTCCTGCAGGCTGCTTAGCATGGGCAGCATTCACACCCTTAATCCTAGTGCCTGGGATCCCAGCACTGCACCATGAACCAATTCCAGCATCTCACCCTCTAAATCCAGCCACCTCTGAAAAAGTACCACTTATGACTGCATGAGGCTTTGGGGAGACATCTAAATGTAAGTGGTAACAATATTGAAAAATTCTGAACACCAACTATGTGAAAATAGAACATGGATATTCCTTTGCACTTAATTAAAATTATTTTGCTTAAAATGCCAGTATGGGTCTGTGAGCATTAAGGCCAATCTCATGCAGGGAACTCTCCGAAAACATTTTTTTTTTTTAAATTAGTACGCTGAATTATTCATGTGTAGTCCCTAATTTTAACGGGATGCAAGCTAAATTTAAGATGCGATTAAATTTCTTTGTTACTGTTTTGAAACATCTAAAACGAATATTTTTATTGAAAAGTTAAACTGAAGTAAAGGTTAAAAAAAAATCCCACATTCATAACTCTCTTAAGAAAAACAAACTAAAAAACTCATGAACATTATACATATATGTATATATATATATATATTTTTTTTTTTCTCTATACAATTCACTAAGTGGACCTAAAAATTCCAAAGGGAAAACTTATCCAGAAAATAAGACAGAGAATAAGGGCTAAGTCTCCTTTACGATAGCTTTCGATCTATTTTTAACTGTTAATTTAAGAAATCATTTATGAAAGAAGGGTGTGCAGTGTAATGCGGAAATCTTACAACCCGGGAGTAACAAACCTTTCTTTCCCGTACAGCAGCTCCCCTTTCCAGGCAGCTTGCTTCTCTGAGACACTTTTCCCCCTCAATCTAAATAAGTCACAACTCTCCCATTAGCCATCTTCTTTTTATTTATTATTGACATCAATTAGCCTGAGTCATGCAACCCGACCATATTAAAAGCGACACGTGGTCCAATCGCTCTATTTTAAAAGTCCACGTATTTTCAAACTCCTCTTTCCAGCCATTGCTGGGTTGTTTCCTCTTTTGAGGATCTGGCCTCAGCAGCATTTGTTTATTAGATGGCAGTTCTCGGGAAGTCACGCCTCGGGGAAATATCTCTGGCACATTTGAGAAAAACCACGGAGGAGACTCGGGCTGGTGCTCCGTGCTAGTCACTTACGAATAAAACGAAGCAAGGGCGACGTGCCCGGGGGACCAGGCAGGTGCGGGTGGGTTTCCGCAGTGGCCGCCGATCCCGGGTGTGCGCCGCACGTCTTTGGGGTGGGCCTGGCGCCAGGAGCCGCATCGCAGTCGAGGTTCCGGCCCCCACCCGTTCCCGCGGGGACCTCGGACACGCCCCCCAGCTCCCTGGCCGCAGCTCCGCGCGGTGCACGCGCCCGAGCCGCTCCCGCAGCCGCCCACGTGGTGGAGCTCTGAGCAGGGCGAGAGCGGGGAGCGCTCAGGGCGGGCGGGTCGGGGAGGCCCGGCCAGCGAGACCCAGCCGGGCCGATCCCCAGCCCGGGCCCCCACATTTCCTCCCCCGGAGGAAGGGAGGTGGAGAGGGAAGCGACACTCCACGGGCCAGCTCTCCCCGGCCCCCGCCGCGCCCTCTGGCGGCCGACGTGGGGACGCGCCCTCGGCACGCGGAGCCACCAGTCTGGGTCCCTTTCCGGGGATCGGGGGCCGCGGCGGGCTCTCCCTGCTCGCGGCCCGGGGCTGAGCCCTGCGGGCCGCGCCCTCCCCGCGGAGCTCTCCCTGCGCCCTCCGGAACTCGGGCCACCCGGGTGGCGGCTCGGCGGGCGCCCCAGGCTCGCGTGAAAAGTGCCCTGCGTAGTAGCCCGGGGTCCCCTTCCTCCCAGGTGTGCCCCGCGCCCGTAGCGGTCGGGCTTTCCAACCGGCTGCGAAAAAATGCCGCCTGCACGCACTTATTTATTTATTTTGCAACAGCTGCAAGAAACAATGAAGCTTTTCAAGAACCGGAGCGACGCGCCTTCCAGCCGCACTGTTGTTGTTTTCAATGAACCTCTCCGGGCCCCGCACTCCCCGCCCAGCCCGCGCCCTCCCTCCTCTTTCCCCTCCTCTCCGTCCCCGGCCTTCCCCGCCGCTGAGCCCAGACCAGCGCCAGCGGCATTGTTTTGGGAGTGCTGCGGGAGGGGAGCGAGGGCGCGTGCGGGCGGCCGGCGCAGTGCGGGTGGGGGCGGGAGCGCGTGGGCGCGCGCACGCGTGG